TGAAAAAAAAATTTTGTCAAGACTCCATTTCAGTGGCGATGTTGTTACGTCATTTTGCATTTCAGATGACGATATCTTGGTAACCACTGCACCAATTTCTTCCAAACTTGGCACAGTTGTTGACCTTGGTACAGTCAAAGAACGTTGATGCCAAGAAAGGACAACTCTTTATAATTGTAGCGAAAGTGCGCAACAGGAGCGTGCCTTCTCTTTGGCCCTAGTGCGTTTTTTGATTGGCCCTGTTGCGCACTCGCCATAATTATAACGAGTTGTTCCTTCTTGTTATCTACGTTCTTTGGTACAGTATACCAAATGGCCGAACATTTTTGATATCGGACAATAACCCACACATCCCATAAAACGGTAATTTAGAGAAATACGAAATCCTCAATAAGGGCCGGTTGTTCAATGTCTGGTTATCACTACTTGCCGGTTAAACATCATTATCGACGATTTCGAAATCATGCATATAACATGTGATCGATAAAGCAGTCGTTGTATCTAAACGGAGCTTCTACCTCCGATTTGTGCTAATCAGACATTGAACAACCGGCCCTTAATCAGTAAATATTAAAGCTAATGTATTCAAAATTGATGCTTTCAAGTTCTTTACCAAGAAATATGTTTGATACAATTTTTGAAAATGGGCGTGGCACCGCCCACTTTTGATCACATATATGTATCTCGGTAACCATTCTACCAATTTGTATCAAACTCGGTATGGTTATTGTGCTTGCCACAGGTATTATTGAATCATGTTACTACTCAACGTTTTCATTCCTAAACACAGCCCTACGCCATAAATACCGTTTCTTACTTTATAGATGCAATGTTGCAAATCCTTAACTGATAATCGATAAAAGTATTGCGGAACATGATGCTAGTTTACAAAAAGTAACGCTGCAGCAATCACTGTAGTTCGAAAGAACTTGTTTTTTGAAGTTGCAATTTTTAACTATCATCCAATTTGCAAATCTAAAGCTTCAAAAGTGTTACTTTTTTTTTAAATACTCTTATATTGGCTTTATTTGCAATCGGTTACTTTTATTATTTCAATTTGATGTTTATATTATTTAGGGTACATACATACGTAGCATGATTCAACATGAAATTAATTTTAATTATTTATTATTGAATCGTTGGTAAGTAGTACATATTATGTACATATACAACTGCTTGGAAATAAAAATATTCTAGGAAGTTCATATGAATATCCATTGCATTTGGTAATTCCCTCAACATTTAAATGTGTAGCATTGTTAACCCTCGAATGTGTAGTGCTTTCTTCCATCACCTGGATATTGTTTAACCGCAACTGGTCGATACATACGATAATTTTCTAACCAGTAATATAGAGCCAAGCAGCCAAACATAACTCCTAAAAAGGTAAGCCAGTATTGACTATTTGTGAATCGTGGCTGCTCAGGCTGTGAGTAGCGATCCTCCCCGTATAAATCAATATCAGCATGTAGCTGCAAATAAAAATATTCCGTTTAGCAAAGGAGACATTAATTTTACTTTGTCACCATAGTGAATGGTCAGTGTTTTTCAAGAAGCAAACATTTTTATAAGTGGTAGGGAATATATTCACCGTCTCATGCAGATTACGCTTATGCTCGGGAAAATCATAGGGGTAGTAGGGATCCTTTGCTTCAATACCAAGTGACTTGCCCAAGTCTGGGTAGTCACCATAGCCTAATCCATTATCCACATATGGGCGATATTCCTCTGGCAGTAGATAGTATTTTTTGGCAGCCGATTCACGTTCCTTGTCCGATTTCGGAATTGTGGCTGGTTTGTAGTCTTTATTCCATGTAGCGTCTATAATACAAATATTAACATAAGCATGTAGATATTTACATATATGAACTGCACGCAGTTACATAAACAAAATGCATAGCAATATGTTATGTTGTAAACTGCAGCGCAGCATGAAGTCGTTTATATACTTACAGGTTTTGGCCAGATTCTGAAAAAGCGCGGGATTGGCAGCTTGCAGCCTTTTAGCTGTTTTTAGGCCATTAAATACAGCAGACATCTTCCGCAAAAGCTTGCTCAACCAGTGTATTTACAAGGAAAATTTCAGCTACGGATGCAAAAAAAACATCGATGCATCGGAAACATCGATGTTTGCTATTCGATGTATCGAATAAAACCGATGTTTTTTACCCTCTGATATAAATCGATATATCGCTGTATTTTTTTTTCGATGCATCGACTTTGTGTGCAATGTAAACTCTGCATACTAAAATTATTTTGTATGCTTCCAAACTCTTCGCTTAAAACTATGTTCCCATTAGCGTAATTTAGAGGTCACTCTTAATTTACGCATAAATTAAGTACAAACTAAGTAATTTCGCCTTGTAAAGTCTCTCAGTAAATTAAGTTGAAAGTACGTAGTTTATCTTAAACCAAGAACCAAATCACGAATAAATCTGTAGGTTCTAATTTTATCGATAATAATCGAAAAAAGTATTGTCCCATAACTGATATGTCATTGTGTTTGGACGTTTTTGTTTTTAATAATCGCGCGTGGTAGTTTGTAAAATATTTCCAGAAGCTTTCTCTTTTGATCACTCATCTAAAATCTAAAAAATTACCACAAACAACTCAGAATATAAAAATATACGCAATTACTCACATTCGCGATCTCCTTTGGTTAAATAAATAATAACACAGGGTTGCTACAAAGCTGTCAAGAAAAATAAAGAATCGCGTGTATGAACGCACTTAATTTAGTGAGGTATTTTAAACGAAACTAAGTATTTTATGTTGGTAATGTGAACATAGTTTTAGTAACTATAGGAGTGTTCGCTATGCACAAAATTTGGGAAATGTTTAGTTATTTGCACGTCGTTTTTAGGGTAGGGGCGGAGGGGGCAAGGCGTGGCCCCTAAATCCTCCCATTCGAGAGGGGACAGCCCCCGCTTTACGAAAAGTCGCACCCCCTTTCGGGGCCTCCCACAGACCCCTAGGGAACTGTTTGAAAATGGGCGAAAAAGAGCATTTACCGAGGGGAAATTGAGCAGTTTGAAGTGGAATATAACCTAACTAACAGAATCTGTAGGGTTTTTAAATAAAAGAAGTTATCCCAAGGTGGTTATCTGGCAAAAGGAGGGCTGAACACCTTCCGCAGAGAACATCTTTATGCGTAGGCGGCCTTCGGCCGCACTTAGGGATTATAACCCTTAGACACTAGAATTCTCCTTTCTGTTTTGCGAAGAAAAGGAGCTGAACACCTTTTGCAGAGACCACCTTTGTATATTTTTAATACTTACAGGGTTATATCCTATTTTCTTTTGTCTCTCATTCTTTTGCATATTTTGGAGTTTGACAGCTGAACTACGCCATTTAATTTGAATATGAAACCAAAGTCAGACGCATGATTTAGAAGGTGTTTTTATTTAATAAATTGTGATTAATTGGTTAATATTAATGTTATAAAGAAAGTTATAACTCATCGAGTAAAGTGTAAAGTGAAGGAGAATATAAAAATATATTGCTGAAGTAGCTGCTTTAAGGAGAATAGGAGTGATAAATTTACGCTAATTTCCGAATTTTACAAAAAAGGGCATATTTCTAACCCAATTTGTAAATAAATTAGTGACCAAAAATTACAAAAAGGATGTTAAAATAATATTTAGACCCTTGGCTACAAGAGTGTGCAATTTGTTTTTTTGGATCGGGATACCCTTTGGACGCAATACCTCGAAATACAATACAATACAAGGTTACATCACTGGGGCGGTAGCCCCAGTTAGGTCACACAGAAAGGAGAATTCTACGTAGTAAGGGTTATAATCCCTACGCGCGGCCGAAGGCCGCCTACGCAGAAAGGAATTCTACGCAAAAATACTGTGGACGCAAGTAAAAATAGCGCGTTTTGGCCATTTTCCTAAGGGGTCCTTAGGGAACCATAGGGGGCCTAGGTGGTCGGGGGTTACATTTTTTTCAATGGCGGTTCATGCCCTCTCCAAAAAGGTCGGCTGGAGGTGCCACGCCCACTCCCCCTTCGCCCACCGCACCTTTAACGGACGGCCATAATGGAAAGTTTCACCCACAATTTTGACATTTCATTTGGAGGGGAAGTTGCAAATTCGTGCTGGGAAAATTTATGCCAGTAAGAATTTACAAGCAGGATTGTGGCACACGGTTGCATTTTTATCAACATTAATTTGAATCAACAAGTTCGTTGTCGTTTTACTTATTAAAGAAGTAGGTAAATATTCGTTTATTCAATTAATTTAATTAATTCCGAACATTTGAAAGGTACTCGGCTGAAAAAGCTGTATTCGTAATCGGAACGCACTCGACACCCATGATTCAATAATGAAAGGGTTTTTAAGAAAAACTTCTCGCTCTAATTTTTTCAATGACACTCCCACCCTACTGACAACAAAAACAGTGATATTTCTTTTCCAAATTTCTTTGCAAGTTTTAAGAACATTTCTAAATTTTTAGTAGTGAAATTTTTACCTGTTAAAATTGAAGAAATTTTTGTTCTTCACACGCTGGCGATAACAAGACTAAATAGGTGAGAATCGCTGGACTACAGAAATTCAATGTAGGTTAAAGATACCAAATTCCCTTAAATGCCGAAATGTATTTGTCGACATTCGTGGTGACCTCTTTACTGTGCCAAGTCGCTGTAAGTTAAAACGCGCGCGTACTGGTAAATGACTCAACGAAGAACTATAGAAAAAGGGATGCAGAACGAACTAGATCTTATTTGTCGAATTTAGAACTAGTTCGGAATTATCGAATAAGCAATGCAGCGGGGGGTTTATTTACTTTACATAGATATGTGTTCGGCGACTTTTTCGTTCAAATACGCTTCTATTCTGTGCTTCGCATATGCTTTTTCATAGCTTGGTAATACAAAACTAAAATTTGTGTTAACATTTCAACATCTTGGGACCGTCTGGAATTTAAGAAATAACAGTGAGCGTATCTGCAAACTCAGCTACAGCTAAAGGTATGTAAACGTACATTTCTTCATTCAAACAAATTTAATTTCACATTGAAAACACATTTCTTCCTAAATAACTTAAAATCGCGCCACGGATGAACCAAAAAGATTGAAAAATCATAATACTTTTTTCTTTCGTCTGTCGATTTTCGAACTGGTTCGGAATTATAGAATTTAGGACTAGTTCAGAACTATCGAAAAAGGGATGAAGCGGGGGGCAATTGACACTTCCTAGGGCATCGCCATGTTAAATTCGCCAGTTGCTTGCATGCAAAAGAGATTTATCGCGAACCAGTGCTTGGTCTATATGTACTAGAAGCGCACCAGTTCAGAACTAGAGATTTTCCGCACAGGGCTATTTCGTTTTGTGTGCATGTGTCACAGGCACTAACACAATCATGCGTAGTTCATGTATACAAAACTGAAGCCTGTTTTCGGCCGACTACCCAGTCCAGTGTGCGTTCGAGTGGTGGACTGCTCAGTCCGACTGAGCAGGTTAGTGTGCTCAGGCCCATTATGAGGTCGTTCTATTGGTTCCGTTCTGTTGATGCCTGTGTTGTTGTTGTTGCTATACAGCAGAGGTGGGCACCCACACTATCACACACATGCGCTTGTGTACGAAGCAGCGAAGTTTTGCTCAACAGCCAGTGCTCGGATGTTCCCATATTTGTGGAATAGATAACACTTTTTTTTGCAAAATTACATTTCTACTACTTCTACCACCGTAAGCTAAAAAACTTTCAGACCTTGGAACTTCTTTTTTTTTTAATTTTTTCATTTGCGCATTAATGAATGGGTATTGTCTACAACAGAAAACAACATTGCTTGCTGCGACGTCGACACATGGATGACATGATCAACTTCGTGCGTCTTACGATAATTGACGATTGACTGATTGGTAGCACTTCGGCAAAGCAAATCAAATCAGTTGCTGCTGAGACTTCACTGCGCAACTAATCGAATAATGCAAAATGTTTCGGGAGGAATGGGAAATACATTTTTTTCATAGAAAACATGGATTGGTGTGCGAAATGCGTGATTTGCTTTCGCGTTATCAGTCGCAATGTTATGTCTTGTTTAAAAAGACATTACAAACTGTGTCATAGTCATTTTGAAAAGGTGAAAGAGGGTCGTCGAAAAAGCTTTTAGAATTAAAAGCAGCGTCCTTTATTAAATGTAGGGTTGGTGAAAGTAATATACATCAACACGAAAATTATCAATGTATATCAGAGAATGATTCTCTATCAGAAAATGATAGATCATTTAAAAAAAAGGCATCTTTAGATTTCTAGAAAAGTTTTAGGTATGCAGTTTTATAGCCCATTAAAATTTAGTAGCTCAAAGTACAAATTTCAAGCGCTAAGAAATCGTGTTGGTTTTTAATGATTGGCAATTTCTTTTATATGAAAGAAAATGCCTAGCACCGTCAGCAAAAAAAAAACAATAAATAAACAAAAAATGTAATTAGCCAAAACTGGTCAAAATGTCACTTAACTTAATCAGCTAACCATAAGTGCTTATAACATATTTATAAATTTATTTATTTGAATCTACCATATTGTTTTGGAATGAACCACAATTTTTCATGCTTATTTACCACTAAGAAAACTTTGCACGTCCGAACACTCTCAACAGCAACTGATTTGACATGAACCAAAAATACAAGATCACGTAAGAACGCGACGTTGTATTTGTAACTGGTTTTGAGAAAAAAGTTTGCGAAAGCGGGTTCGTAAGACGCACGAAGGCGATGATAGTATACATGTGTCGACGTCGCAGCAAACAGCATTTTGAAGCCCAATTACATGTGTTTGGAAAATCAAAAAATGCCCGCCTCTGCTATACAGGCATGTTATACAAATCGTACGATTTCAAATCGGCTGGCAGTTTCCATTTGAAACATTTAATACTTTGATTACAAGTATAAAATATACTTTGCAAATCGTACCGATTTGACATGCCTTATAATTTCCCTTGATATTAGTGCTGGCATTGATGGTTGACTTGGCATTGTTGGTTGACTTCTGAGCTTGTTGTTTTTGGTTGTTGTTAGCAGTTGGCACGATTGAGAGAATACAAAGGTTGCGCTGATCTCGGACCGCTATTCCTCTCTTAACGAATTTGACAGAATCGTTGTTTGCATGACGTCACACTTGTGCAACTTGTTTACGTTTTCCTTGCAACATTTTTTCTTCTTCTTCCACTCTTGCTCACGTTTTGGCATTTCTCTCTCGCAATTGCACCAGTGTGACGTCACACAAAAGTTATTCTCTAAAATCCTCTCTGATCGGCGCAATCTTGTATTCTATCATTCTTGAGCAGTTGGGTTTTGCTTAGGGAGCACAGCCGTCGAAGATTTGCTGGCGGGATGTGGGAGAATCCTCGACCCAGAAGGAACGGATAAGCCCGAATCTGATGATACTACAGCCGTGGTACATGGCAACTGCTGCTGATGCAGACTTACGACGCAAAAAGTTACAACCGTCACAGCGATGCTTCACGTTGTTTGATTTCATGTATTCAAACGCGGTAATTTTGGCGCATGAAGCATGGAAGTAGGCGCCACAATCCACACACGCGACTTTAGCAACTTCTGCGCGATCAACCTTGTCGTTACAAAGTGGGCAAAATATTAATAAAAGCTTTTTAAGATGTAATTTTAAGTGAACGCACCCCACGACACAGTGGAAACACGTGCACTCGCAACGAAGTCACTTTTGCAATTCTGACATTCGCCACGCAATGGGGCCTAAACGTACACAACATCAAAAAGTAACACATGCAATGTTTAATCAGCCAAATCTGGCAGAATGAAGAAAAGTAACTAGATGTTGCAGTTGTTAGGCTCGACTGCTATTCTTTTGCAGATTTCTGGCGATGTATTTCCACTTCGTTGAGATAGTTATCAAAATAGAGCAGTCATCGTCGTAGGAAGCCATGGCAGCTGTCCTCAATCATTATTGCATACTTATTCTTTCGATGGTTTTCCTCTATAGCATACTGGCTGCGGCTTGTGACACGCGCATGCAGGTTATGTCGCTTCCGCTTAAGTGATTCTATTTTTATGACCTCGTGGAAGGACCTTTCGACTTTGGGAGCGTCTTCGGTGGGTGGAAGGCAGGAATGTGGCTCGAAAATTCTATCAGAAAATAAGACAGCAATCAAATGGTTTCAAGACCGGGGCTAGTTCCTGCTAAACGAAGATCGGTATTTTGTATCAGACGTCCAGTGTAAACTAGAGAAATGGTGAAAACACGCTCGATTGTTGAAGAAAACCCCAGATCAATGTATAGGTTGTTGAACGGATCTCCACAGTATGCCATATCCTAGAAAGGAATGTCGCCAAAAAAATTCACACTCACCACCTTTTCCTTGATTTTAAAGCTGCTTTTGAAAGCACGAAGAGAACCTGCGTCTACGATGCTATGTCTAAATTGGGGATCCGTGTAAAAGAATAAGGCTATGCAGACTGAGGTTGAGCACAACATTTGGAAAGACCTCTTTGGCCATTCGAGACTCAATAGGGTTTCAGGAAAAGTCGCGGATCATGTACAGAAAGAAAAACAACTGGCAGAAACCCACAAGCGAACAAACCCAAATAAAATATTTTTGTAACATGTATTACATAGTTTCACAGAAAAGTTTTCACGCATAAATAAACGTTTTCTTAATTATACTGTGCTAAAATAGAGAATAATCATGGTTACTGGATTGGTTCTGAAATTTAACTTTTAAATAATAAAAAAAACAAATACATATGTAGGTATTATTTAAACAGCCAACGGCGACGCTCAGCATTTTCCTTGTCTGCTTCAATTTTCCAATGACTTGGATCCATCAGATAATCTCTAAATTTAAACATAAAACATTGAGTGTTTTTTTGCTCAAAAATATTTTATGCTTTTGGCAAACTCACCTCTTGTGCGCCAGTTCAGACAAAAGTATTGCCTTAAGGTCTGCGATTTTTCCCCCTGTTCCGCCATATTCTTCCGGCAGTATGCTACGTGGTACATGTTCGTAAAGGCTGTCCAAGCTGACGGTATGAAATCGTATCTTTGAAAAGATATGAGGTACAGATTTTGCACATTTAAACTTTATATGAACATGTAATTATTTTGACTCACCAGTTTGAAGACTTCACTACTTATAAAAGGCTTCATAATGCTAACCACCTTATCCAGATATGGGGGGCAGTTAATGATATGGATTGCCTTTAAATGAACGGGCAATGCCTCCTGCAGGAAAGCCATGTATATGCGCAGTGTACTGAAAGTCATCCTACTGAGGTGCTTCAGTGTGTAGCCATTCATATCGAAAATTTGCACATCACCATTAGCAAATGTTTCTACATTCTCCTCGTCGGAAGCAAAGCCATCATATGTGTTAAAACGACAATCGGAGACCATGAAAAATGCTTTGGTATCGGCGGTATGATTCACCTTGCGAAAATCCAATTTAAACAGTCTAAAATTTTTTAAAAACACGCGTAAAGTAACTCAACTAACCTTCGCTGGATCAAAATCTACTAAACGATAACAGCTCACTTTGTAACCTTCTGGTGTAAGACCCGGCAGTGGTATCAGATCCCTGACAAATTTCAAATTAATTGAAATGTCTATTTGATTGCAAGTATACTCACGCATAATCGAATGTTTGTTTACTATCCGCATCGGTTGGGTCACGTTCGAGAAAGATGTGCGAATGCTTATTGCGCATACTGTAATTAATTTTTATGAGCTTCTTGGCGCCTTTTATGTCACCGTACATACATCGGTAGAAGCGCTTCAATAAAATGCGGTCTGGAAATAGTTAAAGCAGAGTGAAAATTTAAACATACATAAACTATCATATTTAACAAAAAAATATACTTAAATATAAGTAGGGCGCATCCTATACTCAAAAGTTTTGAGTTTATATAAAGAATTTACGAGCTATAGCATACTCGATGGTTGATATTCCTCCAACTTGTGGAGGGAAAATATTGAAAAAGGTTGTGTATAACCTCATAATTGATACTTTGTAACAAATTTCTTAATTTTTAAAGAACAACTTAAAAGATGCTCTGAAATGTCAGTGATCTCTAATTATAAACTGAACAGAGTGTATCTTATCTGAGCCCTACCTAACAGGGATATACATAGATAAGAGGTTCTTTCCCGTACGCAACGCGGGATCCCGCGGGTGCCCAAAACAGCCCAGAAATCATTCCCGTACTCAACAAAATGGGTAATAGAGAGCGAAAATTGGAACGTAGCTTTTCATAAGTATTGTCTTTTTCTTCCTGCCGGAAACAGCTCGGACTTTTTCTCCGGTTAAAATGGATGAAGTGTCAAAGTGCATATCAGCTGTGTTAATATGTTGCCTACATTTACTTGGTGCTTTTAAGGAATAGTGAATGGCATGTTGATGTATTTCTAATTTGTATATACTTAAAATCAAATTTGTGAAATAAAAATTCAATTTCCTTGAATGTGAAATAACACAAATTTGCTTTATTTCATTTCTCGTTGAGCAATATGACCAACTTTTAAACTTAACAATTAAGTAATAAAGCAAAATAGTGCACATAGGTAGTCCAGTTACATTTGACAAAAAGTAGTACATGAACAAGTTAAATGGAGGGATTTTTAGAAAATTTAGAAGTCTGAGAGTAGGTAAAAGTTTACATATTTTTACATCACTATTTCACACCTCATGTTCGCCTCGTCTTCGTAAACGAAATACACATTTCGGATATGGTGAAGCAAGTGATCAAGACGAATTTATGTATACAAGGTGGTGGTACTCGCGAATTTAGGTTTTCGCCGCGGTACTTCATAACCTCAAAATGATGTGTTTGTTGTAATATGAAGTCCCCTTGTTTGCAACAAACACAAAACATTTTCAACGATTTTTTTTTTTAATTCGAGAAAATGAGCAACACCTTCGATGAAATAAATTCCCAAAAATCAATGGTACTTAAAATTGGGCTACAAAACTGCATACTGAAAATGTTTCTGAAAATTCTAGTTAAAAAGCTCAAAATTTTTACAAAGTTTGTTGATTTCTTTTTTAATTTGGCGCAAAGATTGAAACTTGGATTTATATGGTTTCTGTTAAAAATATGCTATACCTTTAAAAAACAATAATTAAAAATACATAATTTTAAAATAAATGGTGAAATCTTGCCAATATGTGAGTGTCGTAAAGTTGTGATAAGAACTATTCACATTCAACTGTGTAACCAGAAATTTGAAGGGGGATAATAGCAAAATGCGTAGAAAAAGCGTTTGCCGCGTTAGTTACACTATGCGACAGTCAAAATCGGGATGGGATGAAACCAACGGGAAATGTTATATCGGTCAAAAACAAGTTATACGTGGCCCGGCGTTTCGCTGGGTCACGTCTAGGAATCGATATATATCGATTTGAAGTTAGTTACTATCATATAGGGGAAATTGTCACCTTTGGTGGTCTTTTTTTGACATAACTCGAGAACCACTAGTCCGATTTTGCTCAAACAAATTTAAAAAAATTAAAAATTACAATTCCTTTAGTCTGTTCATATAACGTTTTTCTATATAATCAACAGTTTTGCCGGTAAAAATAAATGTATGAAGAAAAAAAATATTTTTTGCCTAAAATATAAAATTTTTTTATTTTTTAAATTCATAAAAAATCCAAAACGGAAAAAAGGCAAGTCGTATAACTCCCATTGTATATTCTTCTTCTTCATCTTCATTGTCGGGATCGTACGTCTTTTGCGACCACCAACAAATTTCAGCCACCAGCGAATCGAGCCTTTTGCCTTTATATCGCGTTTCCATTGGCATTGCCACTTGATGGAAGCGCTCGCCATGTTCATCGGACTCTGAGGCTAGCTGCTTTTTTCCGTTTTGGATTTTTTATGAATTTAAAAAATAAAAAAATTTAATATTTTAGGCAAAAAATATTTTTTTTCTTCATACATTTATTTTTACCGGCAAAACTGTTGATTATATAGAAAAACGTTATATGAACCGATTAAAGGAATTGTAATTTTAAATTTTTTTAAATTTGTTTGAGCAAAATCGGACTAGTGGTTCTCGAGTTATGTCAAAAAAAAGACCACCAAAGGTGACAATTTCCCCTATATGATAGTTACTAACTTCAAATCGATATATCTCGATTCCTAGACGTGACCCAGCGAAACGCCGGGACACGTATAACTTCTTTTTTACCGATATAACTTTCCCCGGTAGTTTGAACCCGTCCCGATCAATGACCCTTACCATTTGTCTCACAGTGTCATCGATATCGCTAAGGAATTATACTATTTGGACACACGATCCAGAGAATAAAGGTCGCGCCATTCGCGGACCGCTAACCATCTCTTCGTCGATTTGACAGCATCCACCCAATCGCTGACGTCATAATATACTTTTGTTTACATTCACTGTTGCCAACTTAATGCTTTTCGCACCAAATTTAGTGGGTATTCAAAACGCGAACATTTTTGAGTTTTGTGCTTGGTGCGTTTTTGGTGCTTTTGTTTTTAGTTTGAAGACTTCAAATTAGAAAATCTTAAAAAAGTGGAAGCAAAATTTATAGCAATCGTAAGTGTGCTAATCAATTTTACAAAAATTTAAACAAAATCATGGCACAGTGACAATCATAAGCGACAATGAAATATGTGCAGCACCTTCAATAATGCCAGAAGAAATCGACCGTTGTGCAAGAAACATTGATTTTTATTAATTTGAATCGGCATCCTTACAATAAAATTATGTATTCATATAAAGTCCATAAAATACACCAACAAAAATTTGGTGCTTTTTCAAATTCAAAACTTGGCAATACTGCCTTTTGTTCGATGCTTCTTCTTTTTCTTGTCGAGTTCGTCTTGCTCTCTCATTCTGGTATATTTTGACGTCACGGCCAATTGCTCTCAGCTCGATTGGCGCAATCTTGTATTCTATCATTCTTGATTTGGACATTGTTCTTCCTCGAAGAGCGGAACTAATTATCGTGCATCTAGCGCCGAAGATTATTATCGAAAGGTAATATTTATACCGCTATTGCATAATATTTAGCTCGATCTCCGAGAAAGATTGCCGAAATATACATTACATAAACATTTTTGAGTTGAACTGTTACTTCCATACATATAAAATTAGGGAATATAATACGCTACATAAATACGCTATCAGTTTGGAACATAAAGTGTGGTCAGAACGATGAGCAAATGAGGTAAGCGAAAAGCCATACCTAAAATCAGCAGCAGAAGTTCTTGGTAAATGTGGCGACGAATATGCTTTTCCGTTGGTTAACAAACTTCTCCGCATTCTGAATACACTTCTAGCTACTTCAGAAAGAAGTTACCCTTCGCCAGCTAAAAACATGGTTCCATAGTACCATGAATGAAAAAAGACTGATAGGTCTAGCACTTTTACACGTACACTTAGGGCCAGTTTTTCAGTGACTTAGTTTAAACGCCCGAGCCGGCTGCTTTAAACGAAGATTAGGCAATCAAATGTCAGTTAGCTGTTAATTTTAAATTCAGTTTACGTAATCTAAGTTTAAACTGCCACTGAAACTGGCCCTTAGATATTGAAATTGACACTGAACGGATAATACAAAGATTCCCAAACGGAAAGCGCAAAATTGAGTTTGCAATTTAAATTAATATAATCAAAGTTTTGAATAAGTTGTTAAGTTACTTAATTACATTCCTCATTTGACAAACATTGTAAGCAAAAAATAAGTATTTATATAATGTACACAAAGATATGTATTCTGCTTTAATAAACCCAGAGCATAACTTTTTATCTTGTGCCTTTTTACAAAAAAGTATAATTAGTGGAATTCGCGCTTCTGTGTAATTGCTGTATTCTTCGTAAGTGTAACTGGACGAGCGTGTGGTTGTTGTTGCATGTGTATTTGATCTACCGCTAGCAACAACAAATCACACATGTTTCACTCACCCATGTTTCTTACCTACCTAGGACTCCTTTCGGACTCATATATTCTGAACGCTCAGAATATGTTTGCGGGGATATCAAATTTTTTGTTTAATTGTATTTTTGGAATAAACAAAGTCCTTTTTCCTTCTGACAGTAAACTGTTACAAATAATATATATAAGCAATGGGAAAT